CCCTTACGGGGGGATTTTGGGCGGAGGAATGAAAACTACTCCATAAATGCCCCTTGAATTGGCAACAGGAATCCAAACATCGTCCCCCGTATATATATATATATATATATTATATATATATATATATATAATATATTATCTTCGTCCTCTAGACGGACAGGCCCGACCTAACCCTTGCGTCGGACTTCCCCGCCGCCGTCCGCAGTCTCTCCGCCCGCCCGCCCCGCCCGCGCGGGCCCGGCCGCCCGACCCGCCCCGTCCGGGTCTGCCCGCCCAGCCCGCCCGCCGGGGCCCGCGCGGCCGACCCGCCAGTTTTTTCGGGTCATGAGGAGGAAACACACACAGACAGAATTCATCGCCGATTCCCCAGAAAACATGCGAGAAAAGATGGGCAGCGGGGGGGGGGACAGAAACCCAGGAAATATGGGAAACTATGGGGAATCCTTTGATTTGGGTCAGGAGGAGAAAAAAACACACACGGACACAATTCATCGCCGATTCCCCAGAAAATGCAAGAAAAGATGGGCAGCGGGGGGGAAGACAGAAACCCAGGAAATATTGGAAAATATGGGGAATCCTTTTACTTGGGTCAGGAGGAGAAAAAACACACGGACACAACGAATCGCCGATTTCCCAGAAAATATGTAAAAAAGATGGGCAGCGGGGGGGAAGACAGAAACCCAGGACATATAGGAAAATATGGGGAATCCCTTTTATCTGTGTGTATTTATTTGTGTGTCCCAGGGCGCCTTCGTTGGGCTTGGGGTAAGTCGGGCCCGTCCCTCTACAGGAGGGGTGTCCAAAAGTAGTCCCAAAAATTAGTCAGGGGATTGTTTTTTGGGCACATTGTTCGACCATTTTGGCGCAGTTGTGGAGTATTCTTTTTTATGTTTCCGCGAAAATCCGCCTGGTGGGAGACCCGCCCGACGTAAGGCTTGGGCCCGCCCGTCAGGGTCCGCCCGTCCGACCCGCCCGCACAGTGGCCGCCCGCCCGACCCGCTTGCCCAAATTATTCTGTCCGGGTTCACCCAGGAGCGGGCGCGAAGAGAAGAACTCCACTCGAAGGGGGTATGTCCTTACAAGAAGACGGTGGGAGTCGATGGGGTTAGGTGTGTGAATGGAGCCACACGGGGGCATTGAAGAGCGAACAGGCTTAGTGGTTGTAGTCTGTTTTCTGCTGAAAACTCCTGGAGCAGGGCACCGAAGCCTCTTAGAGCCGAGGTATACGGGCTGTCTGTCGTCATTCTCGTCGTCGTCGTCGTCGTCGTCGTCGTCATCGTCGTCGTCGTCTTCGTCGCCGTCGTCGTCATCGTCAACGTCAACGTCAACGTCAGAGGAGGACGAGGAGGAGAAGGAGGAGGAGGATGATGAGGAGCATGTGGGGACCAGGGATCGAGGACTCTCCATGGATCTTCGAGGGTCGTCGGCAGATCCTCGAAGACCAGAGAAGCATGAATCGACCATCGTGGGCCCTCGTCGACCGTCCCCGACGAAGCCGCCCCCCTGAGATCCGACGCCGCGGAAAAGTTGGCCACGTCGCGACATCGCGACCGGAGCCCGAGACCCAAATTTTTCTGCGCCTTCTCCTGCTCCGGGTCGACCTGGGCTGGCCCCCGGGGCACGACGCCAGGCGGAGAAACGCCTGGCGCAGAACAGTACCCCAGCAGAGCACGCAAGTAGCAGCAGAGAGGGGCGAAAAGGCGGGTCGGGGAGCAGGAGGTCGGCCAGGGAAAGCGTGCACTGCTGGGTATCCCTGGGGATTCCCAGGAGACGCACGGCCACGCGCACCACCGCCGTAGTGTGCCTTTTCTGCACGGGGTGGCGGCCGTCTGGACCCGGCGTTGAAGCGAGGCCACGATGATGTGGGGCATGGTCCCTCTGGAAGATTCAAGCCTAGTGAACATATCGTCAGGGGACGATCTGTCTACCCTCTGTGACTATCTTCGAGCATGTCTTCATTTTTCGCCCACAATCCGCCTGTAGGAGGATATTCCCGACCTGGGGCCACGATCCCCGAGCAGATTGCGAGGAAGTCTCGGGCGACGCGGCTGCCGGACCGGGCGGTCTGGGGGCTCGTCGTCCCGCCATGCGGGACTCTCCTGCCGTTTTTTTTGCCCAGCCCTCCGTCAGATTGGGGCACAGAGCACTGTGGCCTCCAAGCCTCGTCCTTCCTCCTCCACTCCACCCTCTTCCCCTGTTCCTCCTCCCCGAGGGGGCCCCAGAGGACCCCCAAGAGGGCCCCAAGGAGACCTCCAAGAAGGCCCCCATCACTACCATCATCATCATGATCATCATCATTATCATCACGATCGTCATCATGATCATCATGATCATCATGATCATCATGATCATCATGATCCTCATGATCATCGTGATCATCATCATCATGATGATGATCATCATCATAGGTCATCATCATCATCATTCTCCGCCTCCTCTCCTCTTCATCCTCCTCGCAGGTCCGTCAGGCACGCCCCGTCGAGACCTCGAGGGTCTCGACGGGGGCTGCGAGCTGCGCCAGTGTCACCATCTTCGTTAGCTGTCCTGATACGCTCGTTTTGAAACGCAACACGTAAGTACCGTGTCAAAAACGTCCGTGTTAACACGCTGCGTCTTGGCTCAACGTGTCGGCCCACGTTTCAGCGAAGGTGTCGCGGCAAACGTACGCTTTCAATCCACGTTTTGAGCTCCGTGTCAGCACGCTACATGTTGTGCGTTGCGTATCGGGGCAGCTATCGGCCTCGCGCAGACGGGGGTAATGGCAGGGGGGGAGGCTTCTTAGAAGCAGCCCTGCGTCTTAGAAGGCGGGGGCCTTGTCTGTGGATGCAAGGCCTGCCCCTTTTGAAGCAGTCTCCTTCTAAGAAGCCTTCCCCCCTCCACTTAATTACACTACGGGCAGCCGCATTGGAAGGATGGGTAACCTTCCCAAGGGTACCCTTTCATCCTTGCCTCCTCGGCCCATGCTTGGCCGCTTACGTTGGCCGCGCCCCGCTCCAAAAGCTTTGAAATGGGCATCCAAGCCCCTTGCATCCTGATCGCGCATCCTTAATATACGGGTTGACTGTACCCCCCTGTGCGCGCCGCAAGCGTTCGCAACTTTGGGTCTTGAGCAGTGGGTTGACATTCAGAAGCGCAGGACATTGGAATGGGTTTAGAGGATCTCCAAGTGCAGTCCGGATCGATGGAGCTACATTGCGTATCATTGGGACCCGCATGTTTACCAACTCGCGCCCGCCCGCGCCCTGTCTCCCCAATTAGGGCTACTCGCGCCCCGTTTAGCTCTTGACCGGAAGGGGCCCGCTCCCGACCCGCAGACCAACAAAGTTTGCCAACTCGCAACGCGGCGTCCACACGGGCCTCGAAAACGATGGGCTGGTGCAATGTGCGGGGCTACGGCCCCGCCACCGACCTCTCTGGCAGGCGCTCCGGGCGCGCGCACGGAGCGGCGTCGGTGCTCGCTCGTTCCTGTGCGCGTGCCGCCACAGCTAAGGCACGCACCGTCGAGGACCTCGCGGCTCCCTGAGAGGAGGGGGAGGGGGGAGTGGGGGGGGGGGGGAGGGGAGGGGGGGGAGGGGGAGGGGGAGGGGGAGGAGGAGGAGGAGAGGAGGAGGATGAGGAGAGGAGGAGAGGAGAGGAGGAGGAGGAGGGGAGGAGAGGTGAGGAGGAGGAGGAGGAGGAGGAGGAGGAGATGAGGAGGAGGAGGAGGGGGGAGGAGGAGGAGGAGAGAGAGAGGAGGAGGAGGGGAGAGGGGGTGGGGGGGTGGGGGAGGGAGAGGGGGAGGGGGGATGGGGGGGGAGGGGAGGGGGAGGGGGAGGGGGAGGGGGGAGGAGGGAGGAGGAGGAGAGGAGGAGGAGGATGAGGAGGAGGAGGAGGAGGAGGAGGAGGAGGAGGCGAACTGCGCAACTGCGTTGTCGCGCGCATTCCGTGGAGACCTCCGCGGCTCCCCGGCGGGCGGCGAGCTGCAGCCGCCGCCGCTCTCCGGGGGCTCCTGGGAGGTCCAGCGGAGTCGGCAGTCGCGCGCACCCCGTCGAGGCCTCGCGCCTCCTTGGGTTTGGCATCGCCAGGACGTGTGAACCCTCTCTCGGCAAGGACCATCGAGGAGCAGTTGAGGTCATCTTGCGAAGAACTCCCGCGCGAAGTCGATGAAATGCACGGGGAATGGACGTCCGAGCGATAGCAAGTCGGGGCTGCGAACTGCGCACCCGTCGTCACTCTCGTGGGCTCCTGGCAGGTGCGGCGCCCCGGGGATTTTTGTGCATCGCGCCATCGTCGCCGCTTTCGTGGGCTCCTGGGAGGTCTCCAACGAAGTCGGCAGTCACGTACACCCCGTCGAGACCTCGCAACTGTCGCCCGCCATTTTCGAGGGTTCATGGAAGGTCCAGCGGGGTGACGTCTTACGCGCCTGGAAGCGTTTAGGGTGTTGCGGGTTCTTTCAACGTGTCTGTTTGTATTCAGCGGTCTTACGTGTAGCTCGTTCATGTTTCGAAAGGGCTGGGTACGTTGCAGGGTGTTCTTACAACTGTTAGGGCCCGTCCTTCTTCAATCCCCTCGTGATAACGGGCGTGACCGGGGGGGGAAGGGGAGGAGGGGGCCGATCACTTAACGATTTGCGCTTGTGCCGCCTGGGCATGTCTGGGACTGTGGCCGATTCCCGGACGGCGACGGGGAGAGTCGGGACATGACCCAGGGGGGGCGGAAGCGCGTGGGCGGTGCCGCTCACGGGCGTTATCGCGAATGGTCCTACAGAGCAGGCTTCCAGGACCCTCTAGCGAAACGCTGCCAGGGACAGTTGCAAGGCCCGGATCTCACCATCCACCAAACCACCGCAACCCAAGCCGAAGGCCTCAATTTACCCTCCATTTCCAGTGTGGGGGGGTCGGGGAACATTGAAAAAACATGGAACCCGTAGCCCCTCAAACCGAAATTCGGGTCGAACTCGGGCCTTCGGGTTGGGCTGGGGGTGGTCTGGCAGGTAGTGAGGATCTCAGGGCCGATCCGAGGTGTACGGGCTGGCCGTCGTCGGCGGAGGCTTCGTCCTCGACCACAAGGGCCGCAAGATGGGCATCCACGCCGGCGAGGCGCCGTACCTGCAGGAGCGGGGAGGGCTCTGTGCTGCGGAGGCAGCCCAGGGGCCCTGCAGAGGCCTGCCAGGAGGCGCTCGGATGAGGTCGGGCATGCCCACCTGCATGCCTAGAAGGGTTCTTACTCGCTAAACTTAAAGGGCCGGGCAATGGAACTCGCCCCGGGCGGTTCCCCCGGCATCCTCCCCGCGGTTCCCCCAGTTGCGCCCTCTGGGTTCACCCAGCTTAGCTAAGCTAAGCTAAGCTAAGCTAAGCCTAGCTTAGCTTATCTCATCTTAGCTTAGCTTAGCTTAGCTTATATCATCTTAGCTTGGCTAGCTAGCTTAGCTTAGCTGGGCTTGGGTTGGCTTAACTTAGCGTAGCTTAACCTAGCGTAGCTTAGCTTAGCTTATCTTAGCATAGCTTAGCTTACCTTAGCTTAGCTTAGCGCAGCATAGCGCAGCATTAGCACAGCATAGCATAGCATAGCAAACCATATCATAGCATATCATGGCATAGTTCAGCATAGCATAGCATCGCATAGCATAGCATAGCATAGCCCAGCATAGCATAGCATAGCATAGCATATCATAGCCTAGCATTGCATAGTATATCATAGCACAGCGCAGCATATCATAGCACAGCACAGCACAGCATAGCATATCATAGCATAGCATAGCACAGCATAGCGCCAAGACGCAGCCTAGATGTAGGTGTAGGTGTAGATATGGATGTAGGTGTAGATGTAGATGTAGATATGTAGGTGCAGGTGTAGGTGTAGATGTAGATGCAGATATGAGTCTCGCTGTTGATGTTGATGTAGATGTAGATGCAGGTGTAGATGTAAATGTAGCTGCCGGTGTAGATGTGAATGCTCAAACTCCTAGGTAGGGTCGCACTGGGATAATTTGTGAATGTATATATCTATCTATATATATATATATATATATATATATATATATGTAAATATATATATGTATATATGTATACAGGCCCGTCTTAACGTTCGGAGGCCTGCTCGGAGGCGCTCGCAGGCCTCCGAAGGATTCTTGAGATCAGGGCGTTGCTCATTCTTGTTGCACGCCGAGCGTTTTCGCCGAGCTTCGGGACCGGGGTCCATCCCAGATCGATGCGGCTCGGAAAATGCAGCAGAGAGATTGGGTTCAGGGCTCCAGTCGTGATTCTTTTAATTTTTCCGCAAGCGCGGATCTCAGGGATCGCAGAGGCGTCCAGAGGCGGTCGGAGGCGCTTGGGGGCGCTTGGGGTTTTGGGACGCTCCAGGCACCCTTGACGCTCTCGGCGAGGCGCAGCTGCTGGAGGGCATCCCGAGACTGGAAAACCGCCGAGAACCGACTAAAGCTATCGAGAATCTCGAACCTCGAGCCCGAGGCTCGCCCCCGAAAGCGAGACCCTTTCTTCATGAGCTGGCGACCACAGTACCCATACCTACGCGGCTCCCAGATTTCTCGGGATGGACTTCTGGGGGGCGGCTACCTAGAGATCCGACGCTCCGAGATAATTGGAGTGGCCGGTTTTTGGCCGTTTTCGGCCTCCAGCGGCTCTCGCTGGGCCTCGGGAGCGTCAAGCAAACGACTCAGGAAGAAAAACCGGCCCTAGGGAAAAAGAGCAGCTGGATGTCTTCTGGGTATGGGTGTGTGTTGTCGAATGGGGCTCCCCATTCGAAAAGGAGCCTCTCTCGGGGTCCGGCATCTCGCGCCCATACCTATAGCGCCTTCATCGCGTTGCACTTCCCCATTCCTCCTCCCTATTGGTTTGAGTGCGGTTTGTTCTTTCATCTTTTCTGCCTCCGCCGAGGGAGGGAGGGAGGGAGGGCGGGAGGGAGGGAGGGGGGGAGGAGGGGGGGCAGGGAGGCAGGGAGGGAGGGATGGAGGAAGGGAGGAGGAGGGGAAGGAGTAGAAGGATGATGATGATGATGATGATGATGATGATGATGATGATGATGATGATGATGATGATGATGATGATGATGATGATGATGATGATGCTGATGCTGATGATGATGATGTTGTTGATGATGAGGAGGAGGATGAGGAGGAAAACCAGTGTAAACCCAAGAGTCACCAACGATGTTGGAATAAACCCTCCCTCCAAGCTCCCTCCTCATAGGCCCTTACAACGGTTCATTTCCATTGAGAGAACTGCCTCGTTGGAGGACAACCGTTGGAAGACCATGAAGCATGCCAACACTTTATTCTCGGGGTTCCAACGCCACGGATCAACCTGATTATTGCGTGCTAGCGATCATGAATCGTGCCAGAACGCCGTTTTGGGGACTTCAACACAGCGAATCAACGTGACTGTTGCGCCCGCGTAATTGTGAGTCCTTTCAAAACACCATTTCTTGTACGTGGGTGACGGGGATCCGTGAAACGCTTGCACACTTTTAAAACGAATGTGCGCCGCGCTAGAGCCAGTGCCACATTTTGAAAACGACCCGCCCTCAATCAGTGAAACGCTTGCAAATGTTTAAAACGAATGTGCGCCGCGATAAGGCGAGAGCCTTTTTTCCACAAAAAACACCCGCCCTCAATCCGTGAAACTCTTGCAAATGTTTAAAACAAATGTGCGGAGCTAGGGCGAGAGCCACATTGTGAAAACGACCCGTCCTCAATCCGTGAACTTCTTGAACATGTTTGAAACGAATGTGCGCGGCGCTACGGCGAAAGCCACATTTTGAAAACCACCCGCCCTCAATCCGTGAAACTCTCGCAAATGGTTAAAGCGAATGTGCGCCGCGCTAAGGCGAGAGCCACATGTTGAAAACCACCCGCCCTCAATCCGTGAAGCTCTTGCAATTGTTTAAGACGAGTATGCGCGGCGCTAGGGCGAGAGCCACATTTTGAAAACCACCCGCCTTCAATCCGTGAAACTCTTGCAAATGTTTAAAACAAATGTGCGCGGCGCTCAGGCGAGAGTCACATGTTGAAAACCACCCGCCCTCCATTTGCGAAACAGATGCCACTTTTAAGCTTGAGCGTCACCAGTTGTGAGGAAGTCTCAGGCGAAACGCCTGGCCCGCCCTGAAAACTGGCCACGGGGCTCGACAGGGAGAAGTTACTTATAAGGAAAAGGAATGGAGGGGGAGGACGAGGAGGTGGAGGAGGAAGAGGAAGAGGAGGAGGAGGAGGAGGAGGAGGAGGAGGAGGAGGAAGAGGGGAAGAGGGAGGAGGGAGGAAGGGAGGAGGAGGAGGAGGAGGAGGAGGAGGAGGAGGAGGAGAGGAGGGAGGGGAGGGAGGAGGGAGGGAGGGAGGGAGGGAGGGAGGGAGAGGGAGGAAGAGGAGGAGGAGGAGGGGAGGAGGAGGAGGAGGAGGAGGAGGAGGAGGATGAGGAGGAGGGGGAGGAGGAGGAGGAGAGGGGAGGGAGGAGGAGGAGGAGAGGAGTAGGAGGGCGGGGGAGGAGAGGAGGGAGGCGATGATGATGCTGCTGCTGTTGATGAAGATGAAGATGAAGATGAAGATGAAGATGATGATGATGATGATGATGATGATGATGATGATGATGATGATGATGATGATGATGATGATGCTGATGCTGATGCTGATGATGATGATGATGGTGATGGTGATGATGATGATGATGCTGATGATGATGCTGATGATGGTGATGCTGCTGTTGCTGATGCTATTGATGTTGATGGTGATGAGTTTGCTGATGCTGCTGATGATGGTGGTGATGCTGATGCTGATGATGCTAATGATGAAACTGCTGCTGATGCCGATGATACTGATGCGGATTATGATGATGTTGGTGCTGCTGATGATGGTGCTGCTGCCGATTATGATGATGATGATGATGATGATGATGATGATGATGATGATGATGGTGATGATAATGCTGATGATGCTGATGATGCTGCTGGTGATGATGGGCATGCCGATGCTGATGCTGCTGCTGCTGCTGTTGATGATGCTGATTATGATGATGCTGATGATGCTGATGATGCTGATAACGATGATGCTGATGACGATGCTGTTGAAGATGTCAGTGCTGATGATGCTGATGCTGGTGGTGGTGACGATTATGACCATGATGATGAGATGGTGATGCTGCTGATGATATCGATAGTGATGGAGTTGGCGATGATGATCGTGATGCTAATGATGCTGATTAGGCCGATGATGCTGATGATGCGGATGCTGATGCTGATGTCTATGATGATGCTTATGATGATGCTGATAATACTGCAACTGCTGATGATGCTGGCCATGCTAATGATGCAGATGCTGATTGTGATGGTGATGGTGATGCTGATGCTGCTGCTGATGGTGATGGTGATGCTTATGATGATGAGGTCGCTGACGATGATGCTGATGATGCCTTTGATGCTGATGATGATACTGATGATGCTGATGCTTGTGGTGATAATGATGCTGCTACTGACGGTGATTCTGATGATGATGCTGATGCAGATGCTGAAGGCGATGATGATGCTGCTGATGCTGATGATGATGCTGGTGCTGATGCTGATGCTGATGTTGATGCTGCTGATGTTGATGCTGATGCTGATGATGACGATGACGATAACGATGACGATCATGATGATGCTGATGATGATGCTGATGGTGATGATGGTGGTGGTGGTGATGATGCTTTCGATGCTGTGATGGTGATGGTGATGGTGTTGATGATGCTGCTGATGATGACGATGATGACGATGATGATGATGATGATGGTGGTGGTGGTGGTGGTAATGGTAATGGTGTTGATGATGCTGCTGCTGCTTCTGAGGTTGATGATGATGCTGATGGTGATGCTGCTGCTGTTGCTGCTGCTGCTGATGATGATGCTGCTGATGATGAACATGATGATGCTGCTGCTGCTGCTGCTGAGGAGGAGGAGGAGGAGGAGGAGGAGGAGGAGGAGGAGGAGGAAGGGGGAGAATGGAGGAGGAGGGAGGAGGAAGGGAGGAGGAGGAGGAGGAGAGGAGGAGGAGGAGCAGGAGGAGGAGGAGGGAGGAGCAGGAGGTGGGAGGAAGAGAGATGTAGGAGGAGGAGGAGGAGGAGGAGGAGAGGAGGAGGAGGAGGAGGAGGAGGAGGAGGGAGGGGCGGAGGATGAGGAGGTAGTGAGGAGGAGGAGGAGGAGAGGAAGAAGAGGAGGAGGAGGAGGAGGAGGAGGAGCAGGAGGAGCACGAGGACGATGAGACCGACGCCGCCGCGCCGCGAGCTGCGCGCCCCCGTCCCCGAGGAGTGGAAGGCCGCGCTGCAGGCCGCGCTCAGCCTCGAGGGCGGCAGCGCCCCGCGTTCTCCAGGGCTTAAGTCGGACGACGGGGGCCAGGACGGCACGTCCTCCTCCTCCTCCTCCTCTTCCTCCTCCTCCTCCTCCATCTCCTCCTCTCCCTCCTCCTCTCCCTCCTCCTGCTGCTCCTCTTCTTCCTCCGCCACCCCTCCTCCTCATCCCCCACCCCCCCCCACCCCCCCCCCCCCCCCCCCCCCCCCACCCCCCCCCCCCCCCCCCCCCCCCCCCCCTCCTCCTCCTCCTCGCCGTCCTCCTCCTCCTCCTCCTCCTCCCCGTAGCCATTTGGGCTCGAGTGGGCGGGGCCTGGGTCCCCAGTTCTCTCACTCTAGACGGCACTCCGAGGCGCTCGCGCCCTCGGGATTCCGCCATGGGCCGCTCCGGCGCTCGTGGCGTCGCGGTGCGGCACGGCCACATTGTGGCGCACTGCAGGACGGTGGAAGAGGCAGCGCGGTTGATTCAGCTGCTGGCCATTGACGACTCCAATGCCGGCGTCCCTGACGGGTTCGAGCAGGGCCTCAGGGGCGCTGGGCTGAAGCTGGGCCCAGGGCGCAAGGCTACATCTAAGGAGGTGCGCCGAGCACTGGCCAAGGCTCAGCCAGAGCTGGCGCGGCGGTGGGTGGCGATGCGCGAGGCGGCAGGCGCTGGGCAGCCCACTCCGACAGGGACCTGTTGCAGGAGGTGATGGAGGCCCTGGACGCCCACTCTGGCACGATCGGGTCGGAGCAGGACGAAGCGAACCAGAGGAAGCTCGAAGAGAAAGCAACCACGACGACGCTCCTAGCCGAGAAGGTCCTTGAACTGCAGGCGGCAAACCAGCGCTACCAGCAGCTCCAGGCGGACACGTCTGAGGAGCAGCGCGCGCTGGAGCTGAAGGTCCAGGAGACAGAGGACGAGGCAGTGCAGCTCACCCACGGGTCGCACGAGCAGAGCCAGAAGATCTCGGAGCTCGAGCAGGCCCTGGCGGAGCTGCAGGAGCGCCGCGGTGCGGCGGCGAGGCCCCCCTCCCCAGCGCGCAGGGCAGAGGGGTGCGCCTCGTTCGCGGAGGTCCCCGCCTTCCCGCTCCTGGCTTCGGGCTGCGACGCGGAGACGGAGGAGCTCGAGGTCGGCTTTGGGGAGGGCCAGCAGAACACCGCAGAGCAGGAGCAGTGCAACGGCGACGCTCAGGAGGCGAACGGGGACCAGAAGAGCACCAAGCAGAACCAGGGCAGGCACCTGAACATAGTCAAGACGGAGGAGCGTAACGGCACCGCGCTGGCGGCCGTCGGCAGCGAGCTCGACGACCAAGGCGGGATGCAGCGCACCAGCGCGGAGGTGAGCATCAAGGGTGGCCAGGGCAGCTCCGCGGACAAGCTCGTGCAGGGGGCCGTCGGCAACCAGCAGAGCACCGAGGGGGGCCAGGGCGGTCACCTGCGCGCCTACGCGACGAAGCAGAGCACCAGCGGCGTGCAGGAGTACCTTGCGCGGTGGGGGGCCGCACAAACAACCCCCAGCCGGCGCGCGCAGCGGCGTGCGAGGAAGCAGCAGCCCGAGCTGACGCAGGAGCAGCAGCAAGTAGCGGACGCAGAGACGTCTAGACGCACACGTGTAGCAGTTTTCATCCTCGTGCTGGCCCGCGGCCTAGTCGCTCCCTTCCCGACCGAGAAGCTAGGATGGCACATATTTCCGTTCCAGGGAGGTCGGCCCCTGACTGCCACTTCTACTACGGATTCGTGTGCTTGGCCGAGTTCTCTGTCGACGAGGACGACCGCGCGCTTGGCTTGGGCCCAGAAGGCGAAGAGTATGAGTTCGACGATCGCTACGTCGTCGGTGGTGCGGTGGTGTGTCTCCAGCAGTGCACCGAGGGATCGCCGCCCTGCTACAAGTGCGCCGAGCTCTGCCTGGCAGCCAACGCAGAGTAGGGCAGCGGTGGGGGCAAGAGCACGGCAGCAGCCATCAGCCTGCTGGCCTCGTCAGCCGCCAGAGAGGATGCGTGCTGAGGCCGCTGGCCCACCCTGCTTCGGGGGCGCACTCGCGCGCTCGGCCAGGGTGCCGAGACAAGGGGCACATTCCTTGGCACGCTGATTAAAACTCCTCCTCCTCCTCCTCCTCCTGCTGCTGCTGCTCCTCCTCCTCCTCCTGTGGGCGGATACTTGGGATAAGCACCGTTAGCAGATCGGAGATATGGAGAACGCTCTCGATGAGGTGTGGCATCCCATTTCGTCAGTCCGTAGCCTTTTCGGCTGGTGGTTCAAGAGTGATTGAGGTCTCACCACGCTTTGCTCGCAGGGTCGCAGCGGTGGAGAACATTATTTTTAGATCATCGCAGTGTTCAGATCAACGAGCGAGGCGTTCAGTCTCGAGGTCGCGAAGCAGGCCCTACACTGTCCCTCAAGTACGTGCGCCAGCCAAACAAGGTGCGCCATTCTCCCCTACGAGATCGGATCACGAATTGGTGGCTGCACGTACACACTGTGGTAGAACAGTTGCATCACATCCAGTAACGAACACATGCAAACAGCAGCAGCAAACATGACATGCTTGGGACTCAGCTCGGGTTTCCCAGAGGGGGCTCACACCATCTTGAGAGACTGACCCAACTTGGGACACATTGCAGCGAGGATTGGCAATCATATCAAGGGTCGACCCAGCGGCAAGACTGGCCAGTCGGGTCAAGAGAAGAGCCCATCACGCAGTCTTTGCAGGAATGTCGAGATTGGGTCAACACCAACGCAGGCACGAGCATGTTATTGCGGGGCCTCAAGGACGCTCCAGAACCGAACGCAGATTCTTGCTGTTGCAGGTCCGAGTGGGTTGTAGCATCCTGTGGGCGCGGTCGATTACACGGCGCATCATTTCCAAAAGGTATGGCCACCAGCCACAGTGGACAGAGGCAGAGTCATAGAGTTGTTCCGTCGCATGTGCGTTAAAGTTGATATTGAACGGTTGCCAGACATCGCAGTGCAAGGGTTGGACCAGGCTCTCAAGCGGGCGAAACCGAAAGCAGGGCTGGGCGCTGATAGCTCGACGGCTTCAGATGCACAGCGATCGCCAGCTGACGGAAGGCAGGAGTTCGTCGACATCCTCAGGGATACCGAACAGGAGCTCACATGGCCTTGGCACTTGCTCATAACCATGGGCAGGCTCCCGCCCAAGACAATGCGCGGGCAACAGAGTGATCGGATTCTTATTGATGACGCGCCGCACCCGGTCATTGATCAGGGAGAGTCATCTCAAACCGTGGGCAGCTGAGGAGGCGGCCCACTGGGATGCGGCCCTCGCAGGCAATTCCGCGCCGCGATAAGCATGTCGCAAGACAATGCGTGCAGAGGTATACGGTTATCTCGAGGTCAATTACGCCCATGCAACAATGGAATTTACAATCATTATACGACACGGTGCGTTGGGGCGGCCTAGTCGAGACAGCGTTGGATCTCAGATTTCCCCAGTAGTATTGATGTTGGAGCTGCAGTTGTGCGCTGCGGCGCGTGTGCTCGCGCAGCTCGGCTCCGCGTCTTGTGCATTGCAAGTGTCGCAATCAATCGTGCGGGGTTTGCGCCGTGGGGCGGGATTCGGAACATGTTGTACTCATGTTATCATCCATGGGGCTCACCACGGCGCGCCCTCTCGTCAAGACACGCATCTAGGCTGGCGACCTCAGCGAACCCGCCGTGGGCTCCGAGCGACGGGTCTTTCACGCCATGGTCGGCTCCATGTCAGGTGCTTTCGGTTGTTTGGCTCGGGCTCGCCTAGTTTTTGCCTCCAAGAGTGTCCTGCTGGCTTCAGAGCACGGTTTGGCCAAGGCGATTGCGGCGGCACTACGCGAGAGAGGGCGTCGCTTGCAGCCAGTCCTGCAGGCCCCACATCTGGTCATCGAATCAGCGGGCAAAAGGCTCGGCATATCAACGCAGAGACAGCGGGTGGTGCAAGTCCTGCCACCGACGCGCTATGATCTCCAGGCGGGCAAGGGCGAGCTCACAGTATAAGATCATGTCCAAGTTGGAGCGAGTGAGTGCGCAGACTGTAGCAGATTTCGGCCATCAAGTTTTCGGCGTGCTTGGAGGTGATTTGCATCGCCTACGAAGCAGGCTTGCGGCAGCTTGTGGGGCTAGCAAGCGCGGGGGGTGCGCGCCCGCCGCCTGAATTCTACGGACGCCAGGCCCGGATCCAGCAATCAAGCTCGGGCGAGAATGTTTGGCGGAGTGGCTGATGTTGTGGGCGACGGACCGCGCGACCAGGCCATCAGTGCATGCGGCTAGGTCAGCGGTTGTCAGCAAGTTACGAGCGCTGGACAACGTAACGAGGCCCAGACATCGCTGCTGTCATCGCACTTCTCCCACAGTGCGGATGGGATCCACTCGCACCTTCGCGACGGCATCTTCCGAGTGACGGGTGCAACGGCGAGGACATCGAGCGGTCGTTTCCTGGCGACCAGCTCGCAGGAGCGGAGGACCTAGCAGATCTTCTCGACGATCCAACGACGTCGGTGCTGCGTGTACTTTGGCGCGACGCGGCCATGCGCTATTGCGGAGAAGGAGCAGCCGATGGGGATGGACATTAATCGCGCCGGTATTTCATTCAGTCGCTGGCTGACGCTCCGAAGGGCCACGCCGTGACGGGGCTGATACTAGCGATCGCGGTCGGAGGTGCCTGGCCGCCAGAACGGCTTATGGCGGAGGTCCAGGATGCAGATCCCCAGCTACAGATGTGCCCTCGATGTTACGCCGTCGGGGATATGATTGCGGAGACGTCGTTTCGCAGATGCTGGACGTGTCCGCTCGATAAGGGCAAGCAGGCATTTCGAGAGCTAGATGGTCTCATCCTTGAGGTCATGGCTCAGCGTGAGCAGCGCCCTGCATTCTGGCCGAGGGGCCTCGCGCCGCGCGCGTGGGCGGCGACGCCCCAGCCAGTCGCAGGAGGGCGATGGGTGTTTGATGATAGTGCGCTTAGTGGTGCCGGGGGTCTGGGCGAGGGCGCTTCCAATCAGCCCATCCTCATGTGCGGTGATGCTAATGGGGGCCCAGACACCATGGAGCCTACTCAGCGGAGAGTGGGCGCGGCGATCGTGAGAGTCCTTGCCGAGCATCCCTTTCGAGCGGGTGTGCCGGGCAGGATGGCTCTCCCAGGTGGACGCCAAACAGTTTTTCGTGGAGAGTTAGCTGGCCTGGAGGCGGCCATTTGCATGGCGCTCGGGTGGTTTTATATGTCACTGGCAACTTGGCGGCAGCGGAAGGATGGGCAAAGAAGCTGTTCTCGCGCCCGCGGTCTGCTGCCAACGACGGTGACACTTGGGCCAATCCAAGATTGGCCAACATCTGCATGGTAGTCATCAATTCGCATTTTTCTGACGAGCAAGCCAGAGAGCAGCGAATCCCCGCATGGATGATCGACGGCAGAAGACTTGCATACATGGCGGCAGGAGAGATGGCGCTGGCATGCCGGATCCCACAGGTGGTCAGATTTCGCATTGCCCAAATGCCCAAATCGAGCACAAAGCCGCGCTTGTTCGAAGGAGACTGTTGCGTGTTCATATGGATGCGATTGCTGCCGACCCTCGGCAGACCAGCGGTAGGAGAAAAGGGCATCATCGCCTTCCGCCTTCTCCCAATATTGTTGTCCAGTTGTGCCCTCAACACGTTATGAATGATAGCGGTCGCCAGTGCACTGTTTATAGAGACCCGGCCACACAAAGAACTCTCGTTGGTTGGTTGCGAACCCCGTGTTTCAAACTGGAGCCCGTCGACGGAAGCCTTTTGGAGGTGCCTGCCCAAAAACGAATACACTGTGCTGGGGGGTGGATGCATGGCTCCGCGCTTTTTTTATTATATATACATACAACAGCGCGGATCTTCACCTGTGGTATTGTGGTGTGTGTGGGGGTGTTTCGCCAGTGCCCAGCTTCGGACCTTGAAGGAGGCTTGTGGTGGGCACCCCACAGTCACCACCCGACCATATCTGTCCAGGATCGGTTCAGGCCTGTGGCCAAAGGTTCACTCTCGGAGAGAGCGAGAAGCCAGGGGCCGCGATCCTGCTTCATTCACTTATATCGCTTCGCGTTTTCACCAGTTCTCGCCACTGGCTTTGGGAGTATCGGTTCTGGCTCTCCTTATGAATTTTCCTGCTGCCTAGTCGCGGCCGTACTAGTGTTCGGACGGCATTCGACCCGCCTCGCGAGCCTGTTGACCAACAAGTTTTCACCAGTTCCAATTCCAGTTCCTCCTCCTCCTCCTCCTTCCTCCTCCTGCTCCGCCTCCTCCTCCTTCTTACCTCCTCCTTCTCCTTTTCCTCCTCCCTCTCCGCTTCCTCCCTCCCTTCTCCTCCTCTTTCGTCCTCCTTCCTCCTCCTGCACCTCCTCCTCCTCCTTCTCCTTCTTCTCCTCTTTTTATCTCTTTTATTATCTTGTCTTTTATGTCATTATCTTATCTTCTCTTCTCTTCTCTTCTCTTCTATTATCGTCTCTTTTTCCCTTCTCATATCTTGTCTTGTCTTCTCTTCTCTTCTCTTCTCTTTTCTCTTCTCTTTTCTCTTCTCTTTTATCTTCTCTTCTCTTCTCTTCTCTTCTCTTCTCTTCTCTTCTCTTCTCTTCTCTTCCTCTTCTCTTCTCTTCTCTTCTCTTCTCTCTCTCTCTCTTCTCTCCTCTCTTCTCTTCTCCTTCCCTTCCCTTCCCTTCCTTCCCTTCCCTTCTCTTCCTCTCTCTTCTCTCTCTCTCTCCTTCTCTTCTCCTCTTCTCTTCTCTCTCTCCTTCTCTTCTCCTACCTCCTTTCTTCTCCTCACTTCCTCCTCCTCCTCCTCCTCTCCTTCCACCTCCTCTCCTCCTCCTCCTCCTCCTCCTCCTCCTCCTCCTCCTCCTCCTCCGCCCCTCCCTCCCTCTCTCCCCCACCCGCCTGGCCAAGCTGTCTGCGCCGTGCAAGCTGCTCGTTCACCCGCGCAAGCGCGAGAACGGGATGGATCGGCAAAGGCATCCACCCCAGGGAAGGCCGCGCTTCAGTCGAGCCGTTTTCATTTTGCCCCACTGATGTTCAGTTCTTGGCCGTGGATGCCACAAACAAATCCCTCCTCTTCGTCCTCCTCCTTTTCCGTCCTGCTCCTGCTCCTGCTCCTCCTTCACCCCTCCTCCTCCCTCCTCATCTGGCGTGTTCAGTTGGGCGGAGGATTCCGTCTTCGTTGGCTTCATGGGATCGGGTGGGGGGAACGTGTGAGAAAATGGCGGTGGTGTCGATGATGATGCCGCTGCGGCGGAGGAGGAAGAGGAGGAGGAGGAGGAGGAGAATAATGAGGTGGGGGGAGGCATGGTGCGCCACAGCCGTGCCCGATTAAAACCCTACTAGTTGGGCATATCACGCCCTTAGCAGGTTTTCCAAAGCCTGCTGCTGGCCGTCAGGCCCGCAGAGGTGATATCTCCGTAAAATTTGTGCAGCCACCCCGTGGCCTTGTGATCCCAAGGGACGCGTTCAGTTTCGCATCCTTCTCGCCGATCGGGGATCGAGGCTCGATGACCGACGGTGATCAAAAGTATCGAGGATCATGGAGGGGGATCACTACATATCGTGGACCCGGGGGAACGATGACCTCTGCGATCCTCGTTGATCCTCCACCTCCTCCTCCTCTTCCTCCTCCTCCCCCCCCCCCCTCCTCCTCCTCCTCCTCCTCTTCCTCCTCTTCCTCCTCTTCCTCCTCCTCCTCCTCCTCCTCCTCCTCCTCCTCCTCCTCCTCCCCAGAGCACCTGGCCGTCTCCGAGACCACCTGCACAGCCCCGGATGCATCCGAAAGCCCCCCCAACAGGCCCCCGGGAGGCCAGGCGCTCGAGAGGCCCCGGAGCCTCCCAGGCTGCGGCGGCGGCGGCGGCGACGACGCCCGCGACGCCGCTCGCGCCCGGCGCCCGCGCCAGGATCCCGCCCGCCAGCCGGGCTGGATCCCGCGGGTGGCGCTGATGAAGTCCCCGAGGCAGGCGCGCTCGGACCAGGACGGAGGCGCCTCAGGAGCCCCCGCCAGCGGGCCGCCGCCGCCCGGCAGGAGGAGCGCGCGCGACCACCGAGGGCTGGCGCGGGCTCGGGGTGTCGGAGGAGGAGGAGGAGGAGGAGGAGAAGGAGGAGGAAAAGGTACCCCTACGGCTGCTACCTTTCCCTCGTTTTCCCCTCGTTGGGCCTCCTGGAAGGCCATCGTGGCCATGGTTGGATCCACCTCGAAATCCGGGTCGGAACGCACCCTTGGAGAGGTCTAGGGAGTAGTGGTATCGGTACCATTGGGTTTCCCACGGGGGGTCCCGGACCTTGGTGTGTGTGTGTGTGTGTGTGTGTGTGTGCGTGTGCGTGTGCGTGTGTGTGTGTGTGTGTGTGTGTGTGTGTGTTAAGTAGGGCTGAGAGTTAGAGAGCGCCCTCCTCTGCAGGACCACCGAAACTGGAACGCCAATGGGGGTGCGTCAAAGGAGGGCGTCACGGGGGTGAGTCAAGGGGAGGCGCCACGGGAATGCATCAAGGGGGGTGGTTCAAGCGCGCGGCGAAAGCGCAGAGTGGTTGCACCCCTTCTCGCCCGTTCCTGGGTGTCTGCAGACCTGACCCTTCGGCCCTAGACAATGTGTGTATGTGTGGTTTTCCCGTCCTGCTTGTCACTCGCCCCTTTCGGTTCCGCCCGTGCCGCCGCCGCCGCGACCCGCCGTCCTGTTTGCACTGTTGGCGCTGGCCTTTCGGCACCTCCTCCTCCTGCTGTCCCTGCGTCTCTCGCCCCCGCAGCCCTGGCCCCGGTGTGCGCACGACACGGTTGGTCCCCTATAGGGGGGATCCCTGCCCCTGGATTCTCTAGCTGGGCGTGTCTCGCGTGTCTCCCACTTCCTTGCTCTCGGACCTGCTACGCCCCGCCGCTGCGCGCCAGGCCGCGACGCCAGCAGTGTGGGGGGGCTCCTGGCCAGGCTGGGAGGGCGCACGTGCACGTGGAAGATCGGGGCCCAGATTTTGGCCGGTGGAGGGCCCGGTGGTGGCTCATACCCTCCTCAACGCCACCGTCATGCAGCGGGCACGTCACACGAGAGATCGGCCTGCCGGCAGGGGCCCCACGGAAAGGTTGTCATCCCCCCACCCCCCTGTGGCCCCAGTGGCCCACGGAGGCTCCGAGGCACCCTGGGGCCCTCGGTGATCGACGAAGAGTGTGCCCCAATATGCCTCCTATCGCAGGCTCCCTTGGCGTGTGTGTCTACAGTCGAAGCCGAGTATAAGGATGGGCCACCTTCCCAAGGGCACCCTTGCATCCTCGCCTCTTCGGTCCGTCCTCGACCACTTTCGATGGCCCGCCGCGCTAGAACATTCTTCAGCACGGGCGTCCAAGGTCGGCGGCGAGCGAGGGGGGGAAGCGAGAAGGAGAAGGCCCTCTCAGACGGCGGCGGGGCTTCTCAGAAGCCCTCCGGCCTTCTGAGTGTTCTGTTCGACCATGCTTTTGGAGAAGGCTCAGGAAACTTCTCAGAGAGCGGGGGGACTTCTCGAGCCTTCTGAGAAGGCAAGCCCCTTCTCTTTTCCCCCCCTCGCTCGCCGCCGATGGTCCTGGGGAAATCAACAGGTACCGATACAACTACTCCACGGACCTCTCCTGGGGTGCGTCCTGAGCAGGATCTCGAGGCGGATGTGGCAGTGGCGACGAGGCCCTCCCATGAGGCCCCAAAAGGGGAACACAGGGGAAAGGTAGCGGTATGGGTATCCATCCTTGCGATCAGCTTGGCTGTGCTGCAGGAGGAGGAGGAGGAGGAGGAGGAGGAGG